AAACCCAGGCCCCCTGCATTTGGAGTGTGTAGTCTTAGCCACTGAACAAGCAGGGAAGTTCCAGTCTATACATTTCTTATTTGAACTTTCATATATGATTTCAAAACTTTACCTAAATCATAATTTTGTCATCAAGATAATTCACTCAACACCATCAAAGGAGTCATTGGTCAATGAAAATGATGCTGTCACAACATTCCAATCCTCAGTGCCATAATTCAAAGTTGTTTTACTAAGGGAACGCATGCAACCCCTCACACATATCCCAACACTCTCTCTTATCCCGCCTCTCTTGAAATCCTTCAAGGCTCCAAAAGCTTTTTCACTAAAACAGTGGTTCTCAATTCTTTTCACTTTGAGATCTCTTTGCACTCTTAAAAATTACTGAGGATCCCAAAGAAGTTTTTATTTGGAATATATTTATCAATATTTGAGATACTAGAAATTAACATTGAGAAAAATTTATAAATAAGTATTAATGTTTTAAAGTAACAATAAGTTTTAATAATAACTTTAAAACACTGTCTCAAAGCAACAAAATTACAAGTTAAATAACATTTTGTATGAAACTATTTGCAAAATACAACAAAACTGAGTGAGAAGGATGGCATTGTTTTACAGTTTGCAAATCTCTTTTATGTTGGGTTTAACAGAAGGCAGCTGAATTGTCATATCCTTCATTCAGTCTGCTGTGATATGTTATCTTGGTTGAAATAGAAGACAATATGTCCTCAGAGCGATATGTAGATGGGAAATGGAGGAGTATTTTAATAGTTTTTTCCAGAAAATTGTGGATATTCTTCTTTTATCCTCACCTAGTACCCCCACCAAGGTTCTAAGGCGTATTCTTAACCACTGGACCACCAGGGAAGTCCCAGAAAGTTTTAAAATACTGAAAAACTATCAAGCTCATGGTGGTGGATACAACTTTTCTGAAACTTGTGTTTTGGTTTGGAAATCCACATTTTATCATTGGCAACAAATACTGTCAGTCGGTTTCCTTGAAGTGATAGGTTCACTTTATTCATTTTTAAGATGTGTATTAAATACCCAAGTGTGAATAAGCATAGTTTGCCTGTCAGTTATCTTTTCAAGTGGAAATGGTGTTCTGTGAAAACAGTTGTCCTGTCACCTGATAAACAATCACACAAGTACTTTTTCGCAAAACAACCACTGAACCATGATACTTGGCAGAAGGTCTCTTTGCCTACTTCCCATTTCCTCACACAAAATATTAAAGTACTTGTGTTAAGATTTAATAAAAGTAATAATGCTTACTGCTTCATAAGCACATTCTTAAAGGAAGCTGGCTTTTTTTCTGTGAAAGTGTAGTGAAAGTGAAGTTACCCAGTCATGTCCCACTCTTTGCGACCCCATGGACTGTAGCCCACTAGGTTCCTCTGTCCATGGGATTTTCCAGGCAAGAATACTGGAGTGGGTTGCCATTTCCTTCTCCAGGGAATCTTCTGGACCCAGGGATCAAACTCAGGTCTCCCGAATTGCAGGCAGATTCTTTACCATCTGGAGCAGGAAATGGCAACCCATTCCAGTATTCTTGCCTGGAGAATTCCACATGCAGAGGAGATTTTGCTATAGTCCATGGGGTAGCAAAGAGTCGGATATGACTGAGCGAGTAAAACAAACAAACATCTTTACCATCTGAGCCACCAGGGAATTCTGAAAGTGTAGTAGAGAAGAATAAATATAATGATAACTAGGGCCCTGCGGTGCCACTGCCTTGAATTTATCCGCATCTGTGCTGATATATTGCAGCCCATCAATGACAATGTCAGCACAGTGAAAAAGTGACATAACAATAAAATCATGAAAGTAGATTCGACCACCTAAGAGAGTCTTAGGGATCCCTAGGGTTCCCGGAACCACATTTTGAGAACTGCTGCCTTACAGTATTTGAACTGTCCAAAAAATTTCCTCAAATGCATAATCCAGTCAATATAATATGTTCAATTTTTTAAAAGTCATGTGTCCAGGGGCTTCCTTGGCAGTCCACTGGCTAAGAGTCCATGCTCCCAATGCAGAAGACCCAGGTTCAATCCCTGGTCAGGGAATCAGATCCCACATGTCACAACTAAGAGTTCGCCTGCTGCTAGTAAAGATGTCCCTTGCCATAATGAAGATCAAAGATCCTGTGTGCCGAAACTAACACCTAGCACAGCCAAATACATATATTTTAAAAAAAGAGTTATGTGTCCACAAATGCCTATCATGGTCGAAGCACCATTAGATAGACAGATATATGAGGCTGCCCACCTGCCCAGGCTTAATGCTCTTTGAGGAAGTGGACAAAATGATTTCAGACTGTGAAAAGGCTATAAGAAAATAATCAAGATGAGGTATGGAATGCTGACCTAGATGAACCTGTACAAACATGGTAACAGGGGGCCTCCCAAAGAAGTGATACACTTATTGACCGCCAAGAGAGGAGAAAGATCCATTTCTGCAAAAGGCCCAGGATATAGCATTCCAAGTGCAGGGCACAGCAAGTAGAAAGTCCCCACGCAGAAATAGCATGACATTTTTAAAAGAAAAGAAGGAGGGTTGGGCTCAACCCTGGGCCTAAATCTCTTTCCTGGCTTTGCTCACTGTCCAGGAGTACTCACCCATAAGACATCTTCAAAGTCACCTGGTGCAGGCAAGGCCGTGTGTGCTTAGTCACTCAGGCATGCCCAACTCTTTGTGACCCCATGGGCTGTGTAGCCCGCCAGGCTCCTCCATCCATGGAATTCTCCAGTCAAGAATACTGGAGTGAGTACTGGCACAAAAACAGAAATATAGACCAATGGAACAAGATAGAAAGCCCAGAAATAAACCCATGCAATTATGGGTACCTTATTTTTGACAAAGGAGGCAAGAATATACAATGGGGCAAAGACAGCCTCTTCAATAAATGGTGCTGGAAAAACTGGACAGCTACACGTAAAAGAATGAAATTAGAACACTTCCTTACACCATACACAAAAATAAACTCAAAATGGATTAAAGTCATAAATGTAAGACCAGAAACTATAAAACTCTTAGAGGAAAACATAGGCAAAACACTCGATGACCTAAATCAAAGCAGATCCTCTATGACCCACCTCCTAGAGTAATAAAAATAAAAACAAAAGTAAACAAGTGGGACCTGATTAAACTTAAAAGCTTTTGCACAGCAAAGGAAACTATAAGCAAGGTGAAGAGACAACCCTCAGAATGGGAGAAAAGAATAGCAAATGAAACAACTGACAAAGGATTAATTTCCAAAATATACAAGCAGCTCATACAACTCAATGCCAGAAAAACAAACAAAAAGTAGAAAAAAATGGTACTGAATCAAAAAGTAGGAAAAAGACCTAAACAGACATTTCACTAAAGAAGACATACAGATGGCTGACAAGCACATGAAAAGATGCTCCACATCACTCATTATTAGAGAAATGCAAGTAAAAACTACAATGAGATATCACCTCACACCAGTCAGAATGGCCATCTTCAAAAATAAATGCTGGAGAGGGTGTGGAGAAAAGGAAATGCTCTTGCACTGTTGGTGGGAATGTAAATTGACACAGCCACTATGGAAGACAGTATGGAGATTCCTTAAAAAACTAGCAATAAAACCACCATATGACCCAGCAATCCCACTCCTAGGCATATACCCTGAGGAAACCAATATTGAAAAAGACACATGTATCCCATTGTTCACTGCAGCACTATTTACAATAGCTAGAACATGGAAGCAACTTAGGTGTCCATCAACAGATGAATGGATAAAGAAGTTGTGGTACATATATACAAAGGAATATTACTCAGCCATAAAAAGGAATGCATTTGAGTCAGTTCTAGTGAGGTGGATGAACCTAGAGCCTATTATACAGAGTGGAGTAAGTCAAAAACAGAAAGATAAATATCGTATTCTAATGCATATAAATGGAATCTAGAAAAATGGTACTGAATAATTTATTTACAGGGCAGCAATGGAGAAACAGACATAGAGAATAGACATGTGGACATGGGGAGAGAGGAGGAGAGGGTGGGATGTATGGAAAGAGTAACATGGAAACTTACATTACCATATGTAAAATAGATAACCAACAGGAATTTGCTATATGTCTCAGGAAACTCAAACACGGGCTCTGTATCAACCTAGAGGGGTGGGGTGGGGAGGGAGGTGGGAGGGAGGTTCAAAAGGGAGGGGACATATGTATACCTATGGCTGATTCATGTTGAGGTTAGACAGAAAACAACAAAATTCTGTACAGCAATTATCCTTCAATAAAAAAATTTTAATGTTAAAAAATAATAATAATACTGGATTGGGTTGCCATGCCCTTCTCCAGGGGATCTTCCCAACCCAGGGATCAAACCCAGGACTCCTGCACTGCGGGTGGATTCCTTACCATCTGAGCAAGCAGGTGAGCCAGCACACAGGGATGACAGCTCACAGATGCTTTTCTCCAGCTGACTTTCACTAAGACCCAGATTCACACTCCCCAACCAAGGACTCCCCTTATCTATCTAATAGGCAAATGCTCAAAACTGCCTCGGAATACCTCAGGCTATCAGTAAAGATGTGCCAGGAAAAAAAAAAAAAAAAAAAAAAAAACGCAGCACCACAGTGACTCAAGCCCTATGACCAGTAAAGTCTCCAATTGGGTTAGGAGGATTCTCCTATCAGAAATGCAAAGGCTCAAAGTATTTCTGCAAGTTTTTCTTTGCAACACCAAACAAAACCAAACAAGCTGCAAAGGGCAAGAGCTGACCGACCAACACACACACACACACACACACACCTCAGTCAGACCCATGGGAGAAGGCGAGAACTAGGAGCAGCTTCTGGAGCAGGTGATCTGGATACAGAGGCTGATGCCATAAACTGCGATTTCTGCAACTCGTCGGGACTGTCCTGAAGCACCTAACAGGAATATTGTTGAGGTTGACGTGAGAATTCCCGGATAACTTGTTCTTTTCATTCCAAGGCCTCACTGCCCCCGCCAGAGACTCCGATGCAATTGCTCGGGGTCAGAACCCACAATCATCTATCTACTTGTGCAGCTCCTGGCCTTAGGATTCAGCCTCACAGAGGGCACCTCGGAGAAGCTGGCTCTAAACTTGGCCCAGGGAGTCCCATTCGAGGCTCCCTCCCTGGAAATGTCATACTTTCATCACTCCGAGAGTCGCTCTGGCGGGGTTCAATCCTCCGCTCTCCCAGGCGACTGCGGGCCTCCCAGGACCTCGTCGAACCTAACCCGTCTTTCAGTCTGGGGAACGATGATCCGGATCGTGTGGCTGGGAAGAGGGGAGTAAGTCGGGAGGCCTGTGTGAGGGGCGCCCAGCACGGAGAAATCGACGGGGGAGCGCCAGGGCCTGGCCTCCCGCACGCAGCCGCCGCGGAACCTGTGCAGGTCTCCAGCCCCGGAGTGTTCCCACGGCTAAAGGGAAGTCCCGCGCCGCCTCCAGCGGGCGTCCCCTCGGCGTCAGTGATTCCCGCCACTCAAGAAACTAGGGACTCCGAGGAGGGCCAGCGCCCCACCGCGCCACGGGCAGGGGGTGACTAAAATGGCTTAGTAAGCTCTCTCTTTCCCCTGATGCTAGGAAAGACTGAAGGCAGTACAAGAGGGAGACAGAGGATGAGAGGCTTGGATGGCATCACCGACTCCACGGACCTGAGTTTGAGCAAACTCCCGGAGATAAAGAAGTCCAGGGAAGCCTGGCGTGCTGCCCCGCGGGTCGCAAAGAGTCAGACACGACTCAGCGACTGAACAACAAGAAAGCCTCCTGTCACACCCCCAAAGCGAGGAGGAACCACGCAGAAACGCAGCAAAAAGAGAGCCGGGACGCTCGGTTGAGGCACCGCTGGGATTCGAACCCAGGATCTCCTGTTTACTAGACAGGCGCTTTAACCAACTAAGCCACGGCGCCGTCCGCGTTTCTACTACTCGAATCTGTTCCCCATCAGTATTTCCTACATAGGCTGCGCGCATGCGCACGAGCTATGCCCGTGGGTGACGCGTGCGCAGTGTAAAGTCTCGGTCTCTGGCAATTTAGACCCGGAGTACTCTGAAACCGGAAGCTCTGACCATGAGCTGAGGGGGCCGGTGAGCTCAGTGTTGTGATATCTGCTCCCCTACGTGGAGCCCGGATGGCCCGTCTTTAGGGGATGCTTGCGCAAGGTCCGGTCCCCGGCCCTCCATAACTGGTGCAGGGAAGCCCCAGGCTGTCCGGCAAGGCCGAGCCCCTCCCGCTCCAGAGATCCCCGCCCCGCGAGCGCGGCCTGGCCGCCGGCTGCCCCCGCGTCGGGTCTCGGCTCACACCCGGCGGTGGTCTCATGGTGACCACGCGTCGGGCCGTGGCACTGGCGCCCTCAGCCTGGGAAGCCGATTGCCCTCCTCAGCCGCACACTAGCCACCGTGATCTCGGGCGCCGCCAGTTCTGGGAGCTCATTCGCCCGCCGGTCGACACCAGACCTCTAGGTTCCACTGGGCCTCTTCCGCGGGCCTTGAGCACAGAAAGAATCCGGGGGCACTGAGGGGACCCTGAACAAGCACTGAAGGATCCAGAGCTTCAGGGGGCCTAGGCTGCCGCCCTTGGAGTATCTACATCATACGCGGGAGGATTCCGCTGCCTGAGAAAAGCAGAGCCCTGCCCACCAAGGCTTCTTATTTACGCCTTCTGGGGCTCCTCACTCAGACACATCAGCCCCCTCGTCCCAACACTTTTCAGAGGGCTTTTGAGCAGCAACAACCTCGAAACCTGCTAATTCATTGACCCAGAGATTTCTCCAGTGGGAGAGTTTCATCCACAGGAGGAATGTCAGTCTCTGCAGACCTATGCACACAAGAAGGTTCATTCCAGCACTGTTTGTAATAGTCAAAAAGGAGAAGCAACCTAAGTGTCCGTCCCTGGGGACAATGTTGGTACATGCAGGCTGTCCATCCTCCTCCGCATTGAGGAAAAATAATCTCTGAGTGTCTTCGTGTGGGGGAGAATGGATAAGACTTCTCTTCCAAAAAGAGTCCAGTTACGGGGAGGCCGTTCAGTGGAGTTTTGCTGTGTACCATCCATCATCATTCTTGTAAATTAATGGATAAATACTGGACAGTCTGCGGAAGCTGGGCAGTCGCCCCGGTTGAGAGGAAGGAGGGCAGCAACAAGCACAGGGCCAGCCCAGACAATGGCTACCAGGTCACCGTGCTCTTGGACAGAATTACAGGATGCCAGTCAATTAACATTAAGTAAATCAGTCCTGCACCTAAGTTTTTAAAAGAGACCAAGGGGCATACTAATGATACTTGATGGAAATCCTGTGCTGTGCTTAGTCGCTCAGTTGTAGCAGACTCTTTGTGACCCCATGGGGGTAGCCAGGATGCCACCTGCCAGGCTCCTCTGTCCATGGGATTCTCCAGGCAAGAATACTGGAGAGGGTTGCCATGCCCTCCTCCAGGGGATCTTCCCAACCCAGGGATCAAACCCAGGTCTCCCGCACTGCAGGCGGATGCTTTACCATCTGAGTCACCAGGGAAACCTGATGGGAATCCCGTAAGCCAGACCAAATGGAAAAGAGAGCCCTTCTGGTTTACCTGAAACCTTGGCTCTTTGTGAAGTAATTGATTTATGTTGTATTCGACGCTGTGGAAGCAGGAAGGAGGCTGTACACATGCATGGGCATTCTGGAAACCGAAGACACTGGGGTGGAAAACAAGCAACATTCTGTGATGGAAATGCCCTCCACCTACCTGCCTAACCAGACCTTCCCCAGCTCTGGGCAGGTGACCATCTGGGAGCATCAGCCAGGGAGGCACCCACAGGGCCACAGTACAGTCCCTTCCACAGAGGGGGCTACACAGCTTCCTCTTCATTCCACGGACCCTTCCTCAAGGGTTGCTGGTGCCAGCACCCAATGACTGCTTTACAGGGCAAATCCAGAGACCAGAATATGTTCCCAAAATGAGACAGGATGAATACCAGGACATAGAAATAGCAAAAATGTTTCTAGAATTCACACGCGCACTGTTTTCCAAAAGCATCTAGATTTATTCTGCATGAAGACTACAGGCAAGGGATCCCCGAGGTGCTGGGGAGCTAAGGAGGCCAAGCAGTAGTGGCCCCTGCCTTAGTCTGATGGGCCCACCCACTGGGGAGGGGCCCCAGAGAAAGGTCTCCGCAGAGCCCCCAAGCCTAAGTGACAAATGACCTGGGCTCAGGTCACCCAAAGGGTCTGTGGCCATCAGCCTTCCTCATCTGGGCTGCTCTCCCTTGACAGTGAGGGCTCCCCTTCTGATGACTGTGAGGCCTCTGTTGACAAGTCTGTCGCATTCATCCGGCAGAACACACATTTGGTGACTGTTTCAGAGAAGATGTCGCTTTCGTAGATGGAGAAAGGCCTGTCACATTCTTCGCACTGACATGAAATATTTTAAAAGAGTAGAAAGGAGGTGCTGATCAGAGGAGATGGAGGCATACAGTTTAGAATTCTTCCCCCTGATCCAACTACCTGGGGCCGGGCCGAGGCAAGCACTGCCTGTCCTCTCTAGGGTCTCTAAGCCCACAAGGATGGAAACTGCAGACCGCTGAGAGAGAATGAGCTCAGGCTTTCCCCTCTCTTCCCTCACAAAAGCTACACAGGTCCTGCCAGCTCCTGTCCCCTGCTGTGGGGGTCCCAGCAGTGGGGGAGGGGGAGGGGGGAAGTGGAAAGCCACTTGACAACGGCAAGAACTGGGGGTGGGTGTCTTAACTATCGCCCTCTGCTCTCTGCAGAGCAAAACTGCAGAGCCAAGGGGTATCCCAGCTACCTGACATCCTGGGGACACCTAGTTTTTGAGCATCAAGTAGGCGAGACTTCTGAACAAAGCAGGAACATGATAAAGATGCTGAACATCCTCCTCTGTCTCAGCCTGTCTCTGGCCGAAGCACCCAGAGGACAGTGGGTACAGTGGCCCAGCTCGCTTGTCACATTTTCCCACCAACAAGTGAGCAGCACCATGGGGTGGGCTCTTGGGCCCTGAGCAGAGGTCTCTCCGAGGGTCCCACCACAGCACGGTACCCCGAGACCAGCCTGGTCTCCACCCTGGCTCGCCAAGCCCCTATGCTTTGCCACCCTTGCCCTCTCTGGGGCCCCAAAGCCTGCAGGGGAGGCGGGGCAAACCCCACCCCAGGTAGGTCCTCTGGGAAACCTGGCCTCCAGGATTTCTCACATTGATTCAGAGCAAGTCAAATGCAGCAAGCTCATCTTTGCTACAGCTTCAAGTAGGTTTCTTTCTTTCCTTTCTTTTACAAGAAAGCAATGTATTTGATCCTTTACCTACTTTATTCTGTAGCATAATTCCCCACAACCCAAGCCCAGGACAACAGAGCTCAGAGGAGGCAGCCCCTGGATCCCGCCTCGGTGGCAGGTGGAGACACAAACACTGCTCTGTGGCCAGTCAGCTTCCAGGGCCTAAGGGCCACATGGCTGCAAAGACCATGAGGATCAGCTGGCCACAGAGATGCGGTTCCGTGGGGGACCCACCCATCACCTCCCTGCCTCCAGTGCCACTCCCCAATTGCTGCTGTTGTTGTTCCATCACTAAGTCATGTCTGACTCTTTGCAACCCCATGGACTGCAGCACGCCAGGCCTCCCTGTCCTTCACTATCTCCCCAAGTTTGCTCAAACTCATGTCCATTGAGTCAGTGATGCCATCCAAACATCTCATCCTCTATCTCCCCCTTCTCCTCCTGCCTTCAATCTTTCCCAGCCTCAGAGTCTTTTCCAATGAGTCGACTCTTCGCATCAGGTGGCCAAAGGCTTGGAGCTTCAGCTTCAGCATCAGTCCTTCCAATGAATTTTCAGGACTGATTTCCTTTAGGATGGACTGATTTGATCTCCTTGACAATCCAAGGGACTCTCAAGAGTCTCCTCCAACACCACAGTTCAAAACCATTCATTCTTCAGTACTCAGCCAATTAGCCATCCCCAGAAGCGGTAGCTACCAGCTGGGCCACCTTCTGAACAGAGACAAACCTGGGGGATTCCAGGATTCACAAGGGCCCACAGGGACTCCTCAGCTTTGGGAAGGGGTAGCCAGGTGCCTGCACTGCAAGGCCCCAGCAGGGACTGGCCTCCACTGCGCAGGGTGAGTCCTGGCTACACCTGGTGAAACAGCCGTGCCCACCATGATCATCCACTAGAGAACTGGGACTTGAGTTCCATCCATGGGAAACGGGGCACTGGGGACCTGGCCAAGGTTCTGCTGATGGAGCTCAGGAGGCCCACACGGGGTGCAGCTGTGTGCCAGCCATTCCTCCAGGATGTCCTCGGGCCTCATCTCCTCCCACTCATTCCACTCTTCAGCACTAGGTTCAGTCCTGTCTCAGGGTCTCCACATGGGCTGTTCCCTCTGCTGGGATGTCCTTCCCCTAAAACAGCTTCACAGCTCACAGCTCACTCCCACCCCACCTTCCAAGTCTTTGAACAAATGTCACCTTCTCAATGAGACCTCTCCTGACCCCCATTTAGAATGCCACACCACCAGCCCTCCCAGTTCCCTTCCTGTTATTTTCCTCCAAAGTACCTATGACCATGTGACTTACTACATACATTTCTTATTTCTTTTATTCATTGCTTATCTCCCCTTTTAGAAATGTAAGCTCCCTCAGGGCAAAAATTTCAGTCTGTTTGTTCATAGTTTTATCCCCAGTTGTCCAAGAAATTTGTTCAAAAAATAAATTAATTTGTAGAGAGAACTAATGAAAGCCTTCATTTGGCTTCATTTTACCCAATACTAACCTGTTTCACCGTTGAGCCCCGGGTCTTTTTGTGCTCAATTACCAAGGGAATTTGGTCAATTTCTTCAATATTCCATAGCCTCACGGTCCTATCCTAAAACAAGTTAAACAAGAAACCAGCAGTCACCAAATGGGCTTATTAGGCTTGGATGACCCAGGGAGGTGCATGGCATCCAGGTTACATGAAGAGAACTTCCACCTGCAGAGTAACAGAGTTAAGGTGACCAACTGTCCCAGTTTGTCTAGTACTATCCTAGCCTTAGCACTGGAAGTCCCACATCCCCAAGAGTGGAAGCAACCACGATGTCCCTGAATAAGAGAATAATGAACTGTAGTTCATTTATGTGACGGAATATTATTCAGTGAGAAAAAATAGAAGACAGCTGTCAAGCCACCAAAAGGAGGAGCCTTAAATACATATTTCTAAATGGAAGAAACAACCTCTGAAAAGGCTACATACTATATGATTCCAACTACATAACATTATGCAAAAGGCAGAGATATGGAGCCAGTAAACAGGCCCATGGTTGCCAGGGGTTCTGGGGAAGAAGGGGAGGGGTGAACAGGTATAGCGTAAGAAGTTTTGAGTTTTTAGGACTCATAGTTTTTCCAGTGGTCATGTATGGATGTGAGAGTTGGATGGTGAAGAAAGCTGAGCACCGAAGAATTGATGCTTTTGAACTGTGGTGTTGGAGAAGACTCTTTGAGAGTCCCTTGGACAGCAAGGAGATACAACCAGTCCATGCTAAAGGAGATCAGTCCTGGGTGTTCATTGGAAGCACTGATGCTGAAGCTGAAACTCCAATACTCTGGCCACCTGATGCAAAGAACTGACTCATTGGAAAAGACCGTAATGCTAGGAAAGATTGAGGGCAGGAGGAGAAGGCGATGACAGAGAATGAGATGATTGGATGGCATCACTGACTCAATGGACATGGGTTTGGGTGTACTCCGGGAGTTGGTGATGGACAGGGAGGCCTGGCGTGCTGCGGTTCATGGGGTCGCAAAGAGTCAGACATGACTGAGCAACTGAACTGGACTGGATGCAACATAAAGTGTGAAACTTAAACCATGGATGTTAATTCATAATTATGTATCAATATTGGTTCATTAATGGTGATAAGTATACCACACTTAACGCAAGGTATTAATAATACTGGCAACTGGAGGGTAGGGCTATAACTCTGTATGATTTGCTCAATTTTTATATAAACCTAAAACTGCTCTAAACAATAAAATCGACTTTTAAAAAAGAGTTCTATGCTCCTTAGAAAACACTGGTCACTGAACTAATTTGGGAATACCACTCAGATCCATTGTCTCATCATTCCTTTGATTATGAAATTGAATGTGGTCAGCAAAATAATGTGGTCTCCCCCAACCGTACTCCCGCACCCAAAGAAGTCCACATCTTAATCCCCCAAACCTGGGAATCCATTAGATTTCATGACAGTGGGGAATTAAGGCTGCAGAGGGAATTAAGGGTGCTAAGCAGATGATCTTAAAATAGGGAGATTATTCTGGGTTATCCATATGGGCCCAAAATAACCACAAAGTTTTCTAAAAGTGGAAATTCTAGTCAGAGGAATAAGTCACAACAGAAGAAAGGCACAGAGAGATACAATGTTGCTGGCTTTGAGGACAGGAAGAAGGGGCCACAAACCAGGGAATGTGACTGGCTTCTAGAAGCTGGAAAGGGCAAAGAAGTGGATTATTGCCTAGTGCCTCCACCTGGGAATACAGTCAATTGACATGTTCATTTTATCCCATTGAGAACTTGTCATACTTCTATCTTACAGAACTATCAGATATTAAATGTATGTTAAGCGGTGAAGTCCGTGGTGATTTACTATAGCACACTAAGTCATGTTACATTTTCTGATTCTGCACTTGCAAGTAAATATCCTGTGGGAAAACAAAAGGAGAAAGTTTGGTGACATACATGTTGCCCCTTACAGTGCAGAGCTGTCAGATTTTATCAACAATCATGCCCTCTACAGCAGGGGTCCCCAAACCCTGGGCCATGGTACTGGTCCATGGCCTGTTGGAGCTGGTCTGCATAGCAGGAGATGAGTGGCAGGCCAGGCAGCGAAGCTTCATCTATATTTACAGTTGCTCCCCATCACTTGAACTCCATCTTCTGTCAGATCAGTGGTGGCTTTAGATTCTCATAGGCACAAAAACCCTACAGTGAACTGGATAGGCGAGGGATGTAGTTTGCACACTCATGAGAATCTAATGCCTGATGATCTGGTCTGCATTATGGTGAGTTGTATAATTATTTCATTCTAGATCACAATAGAAATAAAGTGCAACATCAATGTAATATGCTTGAATCATCCTGAAAGCATCCCCTGCTCAGTCCATGGAAAAATTGTCTTCCATGAAACCAGTCCCTGGTGCCAAAAAGTTTAGGGACCTCTGGTCTGCAATATATTGAGTGATTTGTCCAGCCATGACAATGACAACAATGGAAAAGCTCCCCCTAGCTCATAGACACTTTGATTCAAAAGGTGGGGTTTCATATCATCTTCATTTCTATAAAGATTTTAATGAAACTGTAGAAAATATAAAACAGAACCATGTTGATACCTTACACAAATACAAACTAGACGCTGCTCATCTATCTACATATTCCTTAGACATGTACATATTCCTACAGATTCCCAAAATGTGAATTTTGGGAAATTCCATTTCGTCTATTAACTTACCAAAATAAATGAAAATATCCTACCAGTCGAAGGGCCTGCACATCCTACTAAGGAATCCGATTTGCTTACCCGTGGTGTTGGGCCTCTCCCAAGCAAAGGTTTTTTTTAGTCATTTTTCAACTTTCTCAAAATGTGCAGAAGTACTTAATACTAACAAAAACAGTGGTTTTACAGAAATGGAAGAAGATATCATCCTTAAACATATGCCTACAAGATGGCTATTATCATTGCTGGTCATAGAAAGGATGTTAAAATGTTAGCCTACCATAAAATCACATATTTTAAGTATGAGACAAGTTAATCCTAAAGGAAATCAATCCCGAAGATTCATTGGAAGGACTGATGCTGAAGCTCAAGCTTCAATCCTTTGGCCACCTGATGCGAAGAGCTGACTCGTTAGAAAAGACCCTGATGCTGAGGAAGATTGGGGGCAGGAGGAGAAGGGGTTGACAGAGGATGAGATGGTTGGATGGTATCACTGACTCAATGGACATAAGTTTGAGCAGGCTCTGGGAGACAGTGAAGGACAGGGAGGTCTGGCATCCTGCAGTCCATGGGGTCGCAACAAGTCAGACACGACTGAGCGACTGAATAACAACATAGTAGCCAAAACAATATGGTGTGTGTTAGTCGCTCAGTTGTGTCCAACTCTTTGCAACCCCATGGACTATAGCCTGTCAGGTCCCTCTGTCCATGGAATTCTCCGGGCAAGAATACTGGAGTGGGCTGCTATTTCCTTCTCCAAAACAATATGGTACTAGCATAAAAATAGAGCCCAGAAATAAACCCTCACTTATACAGTGAATAATGTGATGAGGAAACCAAAAATACTCAATGAGCAAAGATTAGTCTCTTCAAAAGTAATGCTGGGAATCCCACTCCTAGGTATATACCCCGAGGAAACCAAAATTGAAAAAGACACATGTATCCCATTGTTCACTGCAGCACTATTTACAATAGCTAGAACATGGAAGCAACCTAGGTGTCCATCAACAGATGAATGGATAAAGAAGTTATGATACATATACACAATGGAATATTACTAGCCATATAAAGGAACACATTTGAATCAGTTCTAATGAGGTGGATGAACATAGAGCCTATTATACAGAGTGATGTAAGTCAGAAAGAGAAAGATAAATATCATATACTAAGGCATATATACAGAATCTAGAAAGATGGTATCAAAGAATTTATTTGCAGGGCAGCAATGGAGAAACAGACATAGAGAACAGAATTATGGTCATGGGGAGAGGGGAGGAGAGGGAGAGATATACAGAGAGAGTAACAAGGAAACTTACATTACCATATGTAAAATAGACAGCCAAGGGGAATTTGCTGTATGTCTCAGGAAACTCTAACTCATCAACCTAGAGGAGTGGGATGGGGAGGGAGATGGGAGGGAGGTTCAAGACGGAGGGGACATATGTACACCTATGGCTGATTCATGTTGAGGTTTGACAGAAAACAAAATTCTGTAAAGCAATTATCCTTTAATTTAAAAATAAATAAATTTTTAAAAAGAAAATGATTTTTTTTTTTAAAGTGATGCTGGGAGAACTAGATAACCACATAGAGAAGAGACGAATGAAATTGGACCCCTATCTATACAATTAAAAAAAATTAATTCATGTGAGTTAAAGATTTAAACATAAGACCTGAAACCATAAAGAGAAAATATTTATATTCAAAACTTATAAAAAACTCACAGAATTCAATAACAACATCAATAAAAGAGAAACTGAATAAGCAATTTTCCTAAAAAGACATTCAAGTGACCAACAGGTACATGAAAATGAGTTCAGCATCACTAATTATTAAGGGAATGTAAATCAAAACCACAATGAGATATCACCTTACTGTTAGAATGGCTGTTATCAAAAAGTTAAGTGTTGGTAAGAACATGGAGACAAGGGAACTGTTGTGAACTGTAGGTTGGAATGTAAATTGGTATAGGCACTATGGAAAAAAGTACTGGAGGAGCCTCAAATAAAATTGAGAATGGAACTATCACATGATCCAGGAATCCCTCTTGCAGCCCCATGTTCATTACAGCATTACTCATAATAACCAAGGTATGAAAACAACCTAAATACTCAACAGTGAATGAATGCATAAAGCAGATGTAATATATATGTGTGTGTGTATGTGTATATAGGATATCATTAAGTCGCTCAGTTGTGTCTGACTCTTTGCCACCCCGTGGACTGTAGCTCACCAGGCTCCTCCGTCCATGGGATTCTCCAGGCAAGAATACTGGAGTGGGTTGCCATTTCCTTCTCCAGGGATCTTCCCAACCCAAGGATCGAACCCCGGGCTCCCGCATTGCAGGCAGACGGTTTAACCTCTGAGCCATGAGAAATAAGGAAATTCTACCATTTGTGACAAGGATGAACGTTGAGGACATTATGCTAAATGAAATAAGTCAGACAGAAAAAGACAAGTATTGTGTGACCTCAATTATATGTGGAATCTTAAAAAAAAAAATAAGAAAGAAACTTACAAAAACAGAGAGTTGAGTAGTGGTTACCAGAGGCTGGGAGGGGGTAGAGGGAAATGGAGAGATATTTGGGTCAAAGGATACAAACTTCCAATTATAAGATAACAAGTTCTGGGGCTCTAATGTACAGCATGGTGATTACAGATAATAATCCTGTATAATATATTTGAAATTTGCTAACAGAGTAGATCTTAAATGTTCTTGTTACAAAAATAGAAATGCTAATTACATGACGTGGTGGAGCTCAGGCTATGGTGGTAAGCGGGCTTCCCCATGGTTCGAACAGTAGAGAATCTGCCTGCAAAACAAGGAGACTGGGGTTTGATCCCGGGGTTGGGAAGATCTCCCGGAGAAGGAAAAGGCTACCCACTCCAGTGTTCTTGTCTGGAGATTTCCAAGGACGGAGGAGGAACCTGGCAGACTATAGTCCATGGACTTGCAAAGAGTCAGACACAATTGAGCAACGAACAACTGGGCTTCCCCACTGGCTCAGCGGTAAAGAATCTGCCTGCAATGCAAGGAGACTGGGTTTGATCCCTGGGTCGGGAAGATCCCCTGGAGGAAGGTATGGCCATCCGCTCCAGTATTCTTGCCTGGAGAATCCCATGGACAGAGGAGCCTGGTGGGCTACACCCCACAGGTTCACAAAGAGTGGGACACGATTGAAGCAACTTAGCACGGCACAAATGGTGGCAAGCACTTGCAATATACATGTGTATTAAATCACACCTTGTACCTCCTAATCTGACACAATGTTACATGTCAATTATATCTCAATAAAGCTGGAAAAAATAAATACATAAAGTATTGTCTAACCAATCTTATTGTATTTTTAAAAAGTTTTACATTTATATATCTTAAGAATGTACAATAATATAGCCTATAAAATTCAATCAATAAAGGGACTTCCCTGGTGGTCCAGTGGTTAAGACTTTGCCTTCCAATGCAAGGAGTGTGGGTTTGATCCCAGGTCAGGGAAGCTAAGATCCCATATGCCTTGCAGCCAAAAATACCAAAACATAATACAGAAATAATATTGTAACAAATTCAATGAAGATTTTTTAAATGATCCACATAAAAAAAAACTTTAAAAATTTTTTTAAATAACCAATAAAATCTTTTTTTAAAGTAAAAATAAATTGCTATATCAAAGGACAGAAAGAAATATTACAAAGCATATTTTTCTTAAACATATTTGCTTAATTATCCTATTATTGGTTACTTCTAATTACTGTTATTGACTAGTTCTAGTGTTATTTTGTTTAAATATTTGTATTTATGTGACAGAAAAGTAAATAAATTTTAAAATAAATACTCATTTTTGATACTTTGCTTGTATTTTTATTTTTTCTAGCTTTATTGAGATATAATTGACATAATCATTTTCCATATTTTTATGCTAAAGTAACAACACATTAGCATATAATTTTTATTATGTATTATATTATTGTTCTTTTTTTTTTTTGGTCAGGTGTTGCAGTATCCTGCATTGGCTCTCTAACAAGTTGATCATTACAGGCAGGATCTTGTCCACATTTTTATACACTTAGAAACCCCCAGTCTAGAGAATGAGATGATTCTAATTAAGGTTGGGGGACAAGGTGGGACCCTACTTCTCTGATGCTCACACATGGAGGACAGCCCTCAGGATGTCCCAGGCTAGCCATTATGTGCCCTTGGCATGGGGGTCAAGGGATGCAGAGAGTAGAGAGGGAAGACACTCCTGGAACCTCAAAGTGATCTGCTTGTCCACAAGCTGACCCCTTTCCCTCCAGAGCCCCCAGCTAGCTCCATCATTTGCCAGTCTGAACAGGCTCTTGCTCCAACAAAGTTCAAATAATGATGTGCTAAGAAATACCTGGCAACTTCTCGCTTGAGCAAATGGAAAGACCCAGTTTCCACATTTTCAGGCAGCTCCTTGGATGGGGACAGGTGTGGCTGAAACGCTCAGGAATCTTACTTGACAATACACTTCTGCTAACAACAATTCTCACAAACGTGATAGAGATTTTAAGTTACTCAGAAGTTGGCCACTTTTACCTTTGAAGCAGAGAGGATCCATTTCTTGTTGTTGCTAACGGAAACATCCATCACCCAGTCATTATGGCCCTGAAGAAAAGTAGAGTTTTAAGAGGATCTAGAGGGAAAAAAAACCTTTGAAAGAACAACAAGAACTGAAAAACAAAGTCAAGAATTCAGCATTGCTTGCTTTTGAAAGCAACTAATTGTGTGTCCCTGGTTTCATCCATGACATTTAAGGTGGAGTACAAAGTGTAAAGGCTTGGGATTCATGTGTATCTCACAGCACCATATGTGTTTTTAAAAATAGGACTCTGGTGCTTAACACAATGGGGAAAAAAATTATATTCCCAGCTGGTCACAGAGCACATTTTGCAGTTTTTTTGTCTGCTTTCTTTGTTCTAAGAAATATCACTCAGTGGTCCTGTTGCTAAGGGAGCATTTGACTTCAAGTAACTGCAAATCTACCCACTGTGACTTAAATACATGGGGTTAATTTCCTCCAGTAAATGGAGTTTAGAGGAGATAAATACTTGCTGGTTCAGACACTTAATGATGTTGGAGCTCCGTGTCAGCATCTTTTTCATTCTTTGGTCTTTCCCGAATGGAAAGAGGTGGATGGTGAGGTATGGTAAGAAGAAAAGAAGTAAGAGTTAGGTTAAACTGCTGTGCATTTAACAACAGGGCAGGAATTTGAGGGTGGAATAATAGAGAGAGGAGAGAAGAGGAAAAGGAGAGTAGAATGACCTGATGGGAGCACAAAGGGACTTTTTAACCACAGTGAGGCTGAACATTTATGTGCTATGATGTAAGTTCCCCTGGCCTCTCTAAGCCCACAGAGAAGAGGGGGACACAGAACAGCCCTGGGAGTCTCCTGCATTCACAGCCAAAGGTGGCCATGAGATCACAAGTCCAAGGGGTGTGCAAAAATCTTGGCGTGGGGGCAACTGGAACAGAGGCACCAGTTCTGGAACTGCCCACCCTCTGGATTCTCGCTGTGCTGGATAACCCATCTCCGTATCACAAAGCCACTTGGAGTTGAGTCTCTTCTAACTTGCAGCCAAAAGCACCCAGTTGACACCCACCATTCTGGAGCCCACAGCTGTCTGTGCATGCCTCATGATGATATTCATTCCTCTGTATGGGGATTCCTGCTGTTTACAGACACGGCCCCTACTCAGAGTTTTTGCCTTTACTGCTCCATTTTCCTGGAATGCCTTTTCCCAAGATCCTCACTCATCCAGTCTTTCCTTGCCCTCCAGTTCTCAGCTCAAATGCCACCTTCTCCGAGAAGCCCTCCAGGCCCACCCACTATGGATTAATCCCTGGAATCTATTACATCACCCTGTTGTGGGTTCTCTGTGTTGCTCATCACTGTTGAGGATGTGTTTGCTGTTTTTCTCGTCTGTCATCCTCCACAGAGGTGTCAGTTCCATTGGGAGTATTTAGGTCTGTCTCACTGTTGTATCCCCAGCACCCAATATGAAATGGCTAAAGAATAAAGCTCAAGGATTTCCTGGTGGTCCAGTGGTTAAGACTCCACGTTCCCTGTGCAGGGGACCCAGTTCAATCTCTGGTCAGGGAACTAGATCCCACATGTCACAACTAAAGATCCAGCATACTTATTAGTTCCTTGAATGTGCTGAGTCGTGTCTGACTCTTTTGTGATCCCATGGATTGTAGCCCGCCAGGCTCCTCTGTCCATGGAATTTTCCAGGTAAGAATACTGGAGTGGGTTGCCTTTTCCTTCTCCAGGGCATCTTCCCAACTCAGGGATCAAACCCATGTCTCTTGCACTGACAGGCGGATTCTCTACCACTGTGCCGCCTGGGAAGCCCAAAGCTCCAGCATGCTGCAACTGAAAAAAAGATCCCACATGCTACAACTAAGACCAAGCACAGTCAAACAAACAAATAAAATAAATATATTTTTTTTAAAAAAGAATGATGCTCAGATCCTCTATCTGATACTGGCATTGGTACCTTCAAGGAGAGCTTCCGGTAGCCTTCTTCTACATCCCAAATAGCCACGGTCTTGTCGAACCCTCCAGACACGAGAAAAGAGGCTGGAACACAAATGAAAGCATCTCAGGGGTAACCTTCCTCAGCCAACTGCTTCCTCCTCTGGTGAGGCGAAAGCAGGCTGAGGATGCATCTGTGAGGCGCCACTGTGGCTGAGGACACTCAACCCTCTTCCTGGTGCGACTCAACAGCCCCCAGTCAACTGAGCTGGGCTTCCTTGGTGGCTCAGATGGTAAAGAGTCTACCTGCAGTGCAGAAGACCCAGGTCCGATTCCTGGGTTGGGAAGATCCTCTGGAGAAAGGAATGGCAACCCACTCCAGTATTCTTGCCTGGAAAATCCCATGGACAGAGGAGCCTGGTGGGGTACAGTCCACAGGGTCGAAAAGAGCTGGACACGACTGAGCAACTAACACTTTCACTTTTTCTCAATGTTCGTGGTAGTTATGCTCTACAAAGTCATCTCAAACACTCAATGAATGACTGGCCATAGGTAAAATGTGGGGTTAAGTTCCTGTGAGCTTCTGGTCACAACATTTTCATCAGCCAATCAATACTTAACTCTGTTTTCTGTCTGATTCTGTTTAAAGATGCCTTATTTAACATATACTGCTTATTTGTTAACATTGAATCCATGGCCACTGGCATTATAACTCGTGCCTGAACAAAGCTTATCTAACTTGTATTTCCCTGTAAAGCACATCACGGGCTTCACACAGTTAGGATCCTGGACAGTACTGCAGCACTATGTTTGGGGGCCTCTTTAAACAGAAAAATCATAAACAAAAAGCACAAAATGAAAAAAAAAAAGGTGGAACTAAATAGATCACAAAAAAGACACCTTATGATAAGAGAACTGAAAGAAGGCAGAAGGTCAACTCATTCAATCTCAGTTGGGAACACGTGCCTATAGCAAATTTGTCACCGCTCTGCATGTATCCATGGATGGCTGTAAAAGTGCCATAAGTATTGATTTTAGGGTCACAAATATATTTTACCCAGTAGGTAACTTCACAAATACAGAATCTGCAAATAAGTGATGATTGACTATACACAACTTTCTATTTATAGAAAGCCAAAGACAGAAGCTGGTGGGATACCTCATAGGAGGGTCTGACTTACAGAGATGCTACTTCTGAAGAAGGAAACATTCCTCAAGTCAGGCCCTGACTATGTGTGTATTGATTGGGTAGCAGCCCCCTTCCCAGCCCCTGTCACACAGAGCAAGCCCCACTCCCCACAAGGATTGGGGAGTACGACATTTTGGCTCCTGGATGTCAGGATCAGTCATGGCCCTCACTGAAGGCAGTTGCCCCTGGCTGTTTCCTGTCATTGTTCCTGCTCACATCTATGCCTCTTTATCTGGAAACGGCTCCACAATGTCCCATGGGGAAACACCCCTCACCTATTCTCGGTGCCTTTGGTTCAGAAGGCAAACTCCAAGGATGGGTAAGTCTCCCAGGCCTGGCCAATCAGAGACTTCCATTCCCTGTGGAAGGGGCGGGTTCACAGATGGGCATGTGTCCCTAGCTGAACCAATGGGAGTCTTCCCTGGGACTTGTGTGGGTGCCATCAGAAAGAGGGTCTCTCTTCCTCTAGGACTGTCAGTAGCCAGAACCGTTGTTGGCCTAGACCACCAGAGGCCATCTTTGCCTCTCTGAGGAGAAAGGTCAGTACAAAAGAGAAACTGAGCTGGGGGTGCAGAGTGGGAGAGTTGGCTTCCTGAGAGCATTGTCTGAGTGCCTGGATCCAGCTACTCCTGAAGGGAGATCAGCTCTTGGACTCGCTCATGACAGAACTTAATAGATTTACTTTGGTGCCTTGGCTACATCAAGTTGAGTGTCTGTCACTTGCAGACTTGTGCATATGGATCTGTCTCTTGGTTCTTGAGGAAAATAAATCCACCCTCACTGTGGGCATCATTGGAAAGCCTCTCTGTACTAAGGAGGGTCCAAGTGAATGGAACATGAGGAGCTTGGCCCCAGCAGTCCCTCGGTGTGGAATCCTTCCCTGTGTTAATTACTCACTGTCTCTGGCAAAGTGGCAGGAGCTCACACAACCTCCATGGCCCTGCATCAGAGTCACACAGGCTCCACGGTTTCGAAACTCCCCAGTGTGGACATTCCATATTTTCAAAGTTTTATCCCAGGAGCTTGTACACAGGAAATGGCCACTGAAGGTGAAACAACAGTTTGAGATGGCATTGTTATGTGCCCTGCAACACATATGAGAGGGTGCACACATTAGCATGTCACTCCTGGAGAATCTGGAGACATACTTAAAGTGGAGGCGAGTGGAGTGGGCATTGGAGCTGATGCCTTGTGACCTAATGGATATTACTTTTTTGATCACTGCCTACTATGATCCAAATATTAATTAACCTAACTATGTTACAGTATTACAGGAGGTCCCAATAATGGCAATATTGACCTTTTTGGCTGGATAATTCTTTGTGGTAAGGGGATGTCCTATGCATTGTAGGAAGTTTAGCAACATCCCTGGGCACTTCTTGGCACATGCTGGCAGCCTCCACCCCCAATTGTGAAGAATGTCCCCCAGACACTGCCAAACGTCCACGGGGGTAAAAAACTGACCCTGGCTGAGAACCACCACCCTATTCAGAGCTGCCTGAGGCTTCAGAAAAAAGAGCAGGTGGAAATATTGTCAGTGATAGTTAACGGACTAATAGCTTTTTAGGTTTAAGGTGGGTCTTCTCTGCTCCCCCCTTCCCCTCCATTCTCTCCCAGACAGGGGGGCATGGCTCCTTCCCCCCCATCTTCCCCACCCTTCTCTCACTCACACCCCGTACTTCTCCCCACACCAAATATTCTGTTTTCCCCTCTCCCTCTCTCCTTGTCTGTCTTCAGTGCCACTAAAGCGTATTTTGATGTTGGGCATTTGATGAATAAAGTTTTGGGCTATTTATTCTCAATTTTTAAATGTCTTTTTAAATTTTATATATTTACTTTTGGCTGTGTTGGGTCTTTGATGCTTCATGGGCTTTCTCGAGTTGTGGCGAGAGGGGGCCACTCTCTAGTTGTGGTGTGAGGACTTATTGCAGTGGCTTCTCCTGTTGCAGAGAATGGGCTCTAGGTGAGTGGGTTTCAGAAGCTGTGGCGTGCAGGCTCAACAGTTGTGGTTTCTGGGCTCTAGAGTACAAGCTCAATAGCTGTGGCACATAGGCTTAGTTGCTCCACAGCATGTGGAATCTTCCGGGATCAGAGACCAAATCCATGGCTCCTGCATTGGCAGATGGATTCTTTACCACTGAGCCACCAGGGAAGCCCAAACTACCTTATTTTTTAGGAAAAAAAAAAAATTGTCAGAATTCTGCTTTTTGTTTTGTTTTGTTTCATGATCCTCAAAGTATTTTCCCTATGATTCTCATCTACTGTAACAAACAGGGTTTTCAAGCAAAACTGTAAACATAACTGAACATCTCTGAGTAGCCTCGATTATAATATCAATTCATCTAACTGAAGAAAAGGTTGAATAAATTGTTTCCTAGCACCCAAGTCAGAGTTTTAGACCCTATATTGGTTCTTTGAAGTGTACAAACCAAGTAGGATCAAAGGAGAAGAAATGTCAGCTTCTCAGGGGTGTCCAGGCTTAAAATGTCCAAGTCCCAGTGCCTGGTGAGGTAAGAACCATCCCAGCATTTACTGAAGGTAAATAGCAAGCCCTCCTCTGAAGCCAGAAACTGTCACTGTGGTTTAAACCAAGGGTCTCTACTCCGGGATGCGACTCTCATTTCAGATAAGTTCCACGTATCATAAAAGACCGTTTTATTTAATACAAAAGTTTGGGGAAAGTGTTTGGGCTGCACTTGCAGTTCTGGACAAGATGGAGTCAATGCACTGCTCCCCATTCCTCCTGTTAAGCACAGCTAAGAGCCCTGGGCATTTATAGAGCAAATAGAAAACTGTGAACAGTGGAGAAGAGAAGGCAGACTAGCTAAGGATCTTGGGACCCAAGGATGGCATGCTGTTGAGTACCTACAATTTTCTTTTTGCTTCTTATATCCTGAACTGAGTACTGGGAAAGCTGCAAGTCCCAAAACAATGGGGACTGGATAAAAGGCTCCCAAGAAAACCCTGTTCTTCCTAGCCAAAGAGATAGCCTAGTAAGACAGAAAACCTTTAGACAATACCTGCCTTACTCCAGTCAAAAATCTTAGGGAAAACTGCAATCCCATTCCCAGCACTTTCAGCAAAGGCTGATTGGGAGTCTAGACCGCCACTCTTGCCAGGTTCTAATGAGGTAGCCTGCTAAAACAGAAGATTTAAATAACAAAGGCAATGGCAACCCACTCCAGAACTCTTGCCTGGAAAATCCCGTGGACGGAGGAGCCTGGTAGGCTGCAATTCATGGGGTCGCAGAGAGTCAGACACAACTGAGCGACTTCACTTTCACTTTTCACTTTCCTGCATTGGAGAAGGAAATGGCAGCCCACTCCAGTGTTTTGCCTGGAGAATCCCAGGGATGGGGGAGCCTGGTGGGCTGCCGTCTATGGGGCCGCACAGAGTCGGACACGACTGAAGCGATTTAGCAGCAGCAGCAGCAAGAGTCTCATAATACTCAAAATATCCAAGATGGAACTGAAATTCACTCATCATCCTAAGTAAGAGCCAGGAAAATCTCAACAAGAATGAGAGACAGAGTCAAGAGGTGCCAATACCTAGATAATACAGACGTTAGAATTAGCTGACAAAAATTTTCAAGCAGCCATCATAAAAATGCTCTAGGGCTTTCCCAGGGGCTCAGTGGTAAAGAATCTGCCTGCACTACAGGAACCACAGAAGACACGGGTTCAATCCCTGGGTCAGGAAGATCCCCTGGAGAAGGAAATGGCAACCCACCCCAGTATTCTTGCCTGGAAAACCCCCATGGACAGAGGAGCCTACATAAGGTCACAAAGAGTCGGACACAGCTGAAGTGACCTAGCATACACGCATAAAAATTATTTAAAAATTATAAAAATTATTAAAAATTATTTTAAAATTGACAATCATAATTGTGTTTAAAATAACCATAAAGATTGAAAGCTTTAGCAAATAAAAGATATAAAGAATGACCAAATGGAAATTTTAGAACTGAAAAATACAATAACAATACAATAAAAAATAAAACTTAATAGAGATGATATAGGAAATAATCAGTAAATATGAAGCCAGGCACTATAAATTAACCAATCCAAAAAATAGACTGAAAAAGAACAAAGAGAGTCTTAGGAATCTATGAAAATATAATGAAATATCTAACATTTGGGGCATCAGCATCTCAGAAGAAAAGGAGAAATAAGATAGAGCTGAAAAAATAATCAAAGAAATTATGTCTGAAAATTTACCAAATTTGGCAAAGAACAGATTCAAAAAGCTGAGTGAATCCCAAGTGGGACAAACTCAAAGAAATCTATTTTCAGACACATTATAATTCTGCTTTTGAAAAGTAGGGACAGAGAAAAAATCTTTAAAGTAGCAAAAGAGAAACAACCCCTTACTTACAGGGGAAGAACAATTTGAATAACAGTGGATTCCTCATCAGAAACCATGGACACCAGAAAAAAAGTGACATGATAGCGTTCAGAGGAGGAAAGAAACAACTGTCAATACAGATCTCTATATCCATCAAAAATATGCTGCAGGAATGACGGGAGGATCAAGACATTTTCAGATGAAGGAAAATTTAAGAGAATTTGTTGTTCTCAAAACTACTCTGTAAGAATGGCTAAAGGGAATTTTTCTAAACAGAAAATGGTGAAAGAGGAAAACTTGGAACATCAGAAGACAGAATATGGTCAGCAAAAGCATGGGCACGTACAATAGATCTTCCTTCTCTTGAATTTTCTGTTACCTTTGAAAACATTAAAAAATTATAACAAAGTACTTATGCTTACTCCTTGCAAGCTTCAAAATCAGTTAAGAGTATGGATTTTCAAAATTATCTAGCAAGAACAGCTATATGATTTGCAAGGTCCACTGCAAAATTAAAATGCAAATTCCAAGTTTCTCAAAAAGCTATACACAGTATTATGACATGATCCAGAAATTTGTCTCCTAGATATATAGCCAAAATAATTAAAAGCAGGGACTTGAACAGATATTTGTAGACCAATGTTGACTGCAGCATTATTTACAATAGCTAAAAGACAGAAGCAACTCGTGGAATATTGTTCAGTCATCAAAAGGAATGAAATTCTAATACATGCCATAACATGTATTAGATGAACCTTAAAAACATTATGCTAAATGAAATAGCCAGACACAAAAGGAAAAATAATGTATGATTTCTATTCATATGAAATATCTAGAATAAGCAAAATTCATAGAGGAAGAAAATAAAGGTTAATTTGTTGTTGTTCAGTCAGTAAATTATGTCCAATTCTTTTCGACCCTATGGACTGCAGCATGCCAGGCTTCTCTGGCCTCCACTATCTTCTAGAGTTTGCTCAAATTCATCTCCATTGAGCCAGTGATGCTATCTAACCATCTTATCCTCTGCCAGAGGTTGCTCAAATTCATATCCAGTGCGCCAGTGATGTTATCTAACCATCTCATCCTCTGTTACCACCTTCTCCTCCTGCCCTCAATCTTTCCCAGCATCAGGGTCTTTTCCAGTGAGTCAGTGCTTCACATCAGGTGACCAAAGTATTGGAGCTTCAGCTTTAGCAACAGTCCTTTCAATGAATATTCAGGGTTGATTTCCTTTAGGATTGACTGGTTTGATCTCCCTGTAGTCCAAGGGACTATCAAGAGTCTTCTCCAGCACCACAACTCAAAAGCATCAATTCTTCAGCACTCAGCCTTCTTTATGGTTCAACTTTCACATCCATACATGACTACTGGAAAAACCGTAGCATTGAACATCTGGGTCTTTGTCGACAAAGTGGTATCTCTACTTTTTAATATGCTGTCTAGGTTACTAGGGACTAGGATTGAAGGGAGTGGGGAACTATTGTTCAATGGGTACTGAGTTTCTCTTTGGGTAATAAAAGAGTTTTGGAAATAGTGGTGATGGGCATACAATATAATAAATGTAATTAATGCCGGTAAAATAGCTTAAAAATTTTGTACATATAATAAGACAATTAAAAATAATAATAACATCCCCCAAACCACTGAATTATGTACATGAAATGGTAATTTGTAGGATGCATGTAAATTACATCTCGGAAAAACTGTTCAGAGAGAAAGGCAGCCCACAGGCAGGAAGGGAGGAGGAAAAGTGATGGCTTCTCAGGAAACAGTGGTTATGAGACAGCTAAGAGAGAATTTTTCACTCTGTATTCTTTTGTACCTTCAAAGTTTTGTACTGTGCTGCATGTTTGACATTTTCAAAAAGTAAATCACATATTTTTGAAATAAAAGCATTTGAGGTACTTTGTTCAGAAATGAAGAATTTGGGGACTTCCCTGGTGGTCCAGTGGCTAAGACTTCAAGTTTTCAATGCAGGGGGTCTGGGTTCCATCCCTGGTCAGGGAACTGGATCCCATTTGCTGCAAATAAGAGTTCCCATGCCACAACTAAAGACCCCTCATGCCACAACTAAGACCTGGTACAGTCAAATAAATAAATAAAAATATTTTTTTAAAAGTGAAGAATTTCAAGACATCGGCAGCAGATCAGTAAACCAAGTATGAGCCCTCCTGTGTGTGGGACCCCGTGTGACTTCAGAATTTCACGCTGCGAAGCCAGCCCTGCCTGTCCTGTAGCACTGAGAATCCTCGTCTCTATATTTTCTTGTAAAAAACACATTTCCAGAAAATGCTGAGTGGCCACCATGCATCCTACGCTAAGGACTTCTGTCTGTTGTCTCCTTCAGACCTCACCGGGGCTCAGTTTGCGGGTGAGGAAACTAAAGTCAAAGGTCACCCAGGATGGGAAGCTGCATACTGTTAAGCCCTGGCCAGAAACTGACCGGAAAGCCTGACCCAGGCCAGCAGGGCTCATAACTAAGCCAAGTGGGCAGGATGACACATTCCGAGGTCATGACTCCGGGCCCCGCTGGGAGGGCTGCCCACACACCTGCTGGTGGCCACAGACAGAGTGATCCTTGCGGGCCCTGGAAGATCAGATCTCATTTTGCAGGAGATGCTGGAAACCCACATTTGGGGAGGCAGCGGGCAACTCAGCACAATGTTTTCCAGTGTTGGCTCACACTGAATCAAATGCATCTGAGGCCCGCCCCAGCCCACAGGCTACAACTACAGTAAGTCCCCTACATAGGATTAATTTTTGTTCCGAGCGTGCGTTCATAAGTCCAATTTGTTTGTAAGCCCAACAAAGCTGGCCTAGGTACCCAACTAACGCAATCAGCTATACAGTACTGTCTTACAATACTTTTCGCACAAATAATATGTACAAGAAAAACAAGCACAAAAAATAAAAACATTTAATATTACAGAACCTTGAAAAGTACCGTAGTACAGTACGACAGCTGGCATATAGGAGCGGACTCACACGTTCACATCTTTGAAAGCTTGCACCTGAAGGTTCGTATGTAGAGGACTTACTATAGGGGTTTGCCCTTGCTTGACTGTCCCCTTCCCCTTCTCCATCTCCAGCCTGCTCGTAGCACCGCAGTGGACCACAGCTGGAGATGCCGCACCAGCTGGGGAGCTCAAGGTGCACAGGCCAGGCCAGGAGGGTGTGAATCCCGCCCACCTCCCTGGTGCAGCATGCTGCCCAGCCTCCTCACTTGGTGATGGTGAGCAGCGAGGCCTGTGACGTCACATCCCAGATCTTGATGCTCCTGTCAAACGAGACGGAAGCCACCTTCTGACTGTCGGGGTCAAAGCAGCAGGCGGTGAGCGTCATCATGTGAGGATCTGAGGCACAGGGAAAGTGACTTGATACCGCGCCTTCCGCACTCTGGGCCACACGCCCCTGGGACACTGAGGTTGCTCCCCCCAGACAACGACCATAAAATAGAAACACAACTCTGGTTTTCACAAGGAAGGGACTCTTCACTTGCATAATCATTTCCTGAATGCCTGCTGTGATACCAGGCCTTGAACCAGGAGCTCTGCCCCCTTCCCCCTCAGAGGTCACAGGCAGACACCTCTGAGCAGGCAACAACCTGCAGCAAATGTCACAGCTCCAAACCAACAAAAGGAAACCTGGCCCAGCCCTGAGAGGTCGCTAAAAGTTATGGAGGGAAACAGGAAAGGAAGAGAGCTCTAGGCAGAAGGAACAGGGTGTGCCAAGGCTTGACATGAGGACACAGGGTGAAGGAGCATGGTGTGGAGACAGGGCTTAGAGTGTGAGGGGAGAGAGGGTACGAGGTGACGCATCAAGGGAAAAATGCATGCTGTGTGGCAGGACACACATCATGGTTCCATGGTGATAAAAATAAACATTAGATGTCTGTGGGAACTAGTACTGGGTATGTGTGTGTTTGCACGTACACACACTCACAGGAAGACCACCCAGCACTGTACTGTTAATGATAGGTACCTCCCCAGATGAACCTATTTGCAGGGCAGGAACAGAGACACGGACGTAGAGAATGGACCGTGGACACAGTGGGGAAGGGGAGGGTGGAATGAACCGGGAGAGCAGCACTTACGTGTCTACACTACCGTGTGTGAAATAGTTAGTGGGAATCTGCTCAGCTCTCTAGGATGACCTAACAGGGTGAGATGTGGGGGGTGGGAGCAAGGCTCCCGAGGGAGGGGATATATGTCAACACACAGCTGATTCACTTTGTTGTAGAGCTGAGACTAACACAGCATTGTAAAGCAGTTATACTCCAGTAAAAAAAAAAAATACTATCTCACAGTACAATTTTAAAAACACTTCTTCCATTGAACTTGAGGGATATATAAATTCAAATCAGAAGAAATACAGTGGAAGACTAGAATAAATAAATTATAAGCAAAGTTCTTTAAATTAAAAATAATCATAATAATAGATCCCACCAGGCTTCCCTTGTAGCTCAGTCGGTAAAGAATCTGCCTGCAATGCAGGAAACCCGGGTTAGATTCCTGGGTAGGGAAGATTCCCTGGAGAAGCAAATGGCAACCCACTCCAGTATTCTTGCCTGGAGAATCCCATGGACAGATGAGCCTGGCAGGCTACAGTCCATGGGGTCGCAACAGTCGGACAAGACTTAACGACTAAACCACCACCACCACCAGGGAGAAGACAGGACAGGCAGGATCACAGTCGTGTCTGACTGTGGAACTCTATGGACTATCGCCCACCAGGCTACTCTGTCCATGGGAATTTTCCAGGCAAGGTACTGGAGTGGGTTGCCATTTCCTCCTCCAGTGTATCTTCCTGACCAGGGATCAAACTCACATCTCCCGCAATGAAAGCAGGTTTGTTTTTTTTTTTTTTAACCACTTTAGCCACTGGGGAAGCCCACTGCTCACACACTTTCAATTTTTTTCCAATGATTATGTATGCTTTTATTTTTTCTTCTGAGTTAACTGTTAACTCACATGCAGTTGTAAGGAATTCTACAGAGAGATCCTGTATGCCTGTCACTCAGTTTCCCCCAAAGGTAACATCTTACACAATGATTACACAGGATCACAACCAGGAAATTGACATTTGATGACTGTTTTTTCAGTAGTTGCCATTCTAGTCTCTTTAATTACCTGAATTTTTTTTTACCTGACAATTGATAGTAATAAAATTGCTAATCATCTAGAATAAATATGTGTGTTGTTAATAATAAAACACTAGCATAAATATGTGTGTTGTTAATAATCAGTGATTAATATTTTTATGGGCTTCCCTGGTGACTCAGCAGTAAAGAATGAGGAATGTGGGAAAATACACATAAAATGTTAAGAAGCCTGGAAAGAAAGAAAGTGAAGTCGCTCAGTCATGCCGGACTCTTTGTGACTCTATGGACTGTAGCCTGCTGGGCTCCTCCATCCATGGGATTTTCCAGGCAAGAATACTGGAGTGGGTTGCCAGTTCTTTCTCCAGGGAATCTTCCCAACCCAGGGATTGAACCTGGGTCTCTTACAGTGCAGGCAGACTACCATCTGAGCCACCAGGCAAGCCAAGCTTGGGTCTTCACTCAATAAAAGATGGACTTTAAATGTCCATGTGAGGCTGAAGCAGAACAATGTTTCATTTATTATAAGCACGAGACTGAGTGGAAAAGCCTTAACCAGTCTTGATTTTAGTTGCCCATGTTTTTATCCATCAGGGCTTTCCTGATAGCTTAGTTGGTAAAGAATCCACCTGCAATTCGGGAGACCTGGGTTCGATCCCTAGGTTGGGAAGATCCCCTGGAGAAGGGAAAGGTTACCCACACCAGTATTCTGGCCTGGAGAACTTGGGTTCTACCCACTCCAGTATTCTGACCTGGGTCACAAAGGGTCAGACATGACTGAGCGGCTTTCACTTCACTTTTATCCATCAATGTCCCATCTTTAACGACATGGTTCACAGTATTGCTGATTTACCAAATAAAACAATAAACTCACTGTCATTCAAGTGACAGGTGGCTGTTATCATAACAGACAGAACAGAGCAGGGAGCCTACATCAACTCACCTTTGATATGGGACACGGTGGTGGAGTCTTTTGCATCTATTATAAAGATTCCATGATCCACATCCAAGCCCAAGACCACGTATTTACCATCAGGGGACAACTTAGCAGAGACTATGAAGGTTTCATGACCGAGCTTCCACTGAAATAGGGCAACAATCAAAAGGTTTTCTCTCTAGCCTAGTTTTCCAGCAGGACTTTCTGAAATATTCTATCTATGCACTGTTCAATATGCCAGCCACTGGCCATATGTGGCCACTGAGTTCTTGTAATAAACTAGTGCAAACAAGGAACTGAATGTTTATTTAGTTTTCATGAATTAATTTTTAATTAATACATGTAATTAATGTGTGTCCAGAAGAGATGAACAAGGATAGGAGGCACCTAGCAGAACTGGCAGCAAGGTTTTAGTAATGGCCAACCTGACTCTTGTTCAGTTTGGTAAACAAGTCTGCCTGAGGACAAGACTCTGCAGTCCCAGCCCCCCAGGACAGAGAGTTACTCAACATTCTAGGAAAGGAAAATCTCTCTGTATGTTATAAATTACGGTATTGTTGTTGTGAAGCTTCTAAAATATGCTCCCCAATTCTTTGACAGTCCTCTCTCCACAAAAGTGAAAGTCACCCAGTCATGTCAGACTCTTTGCAACCCCACGGAGTGCAAACCAGCGGGCTGCTCTGTCCATGGAATTCTCCAGGCAAGAACATTAGAGTGGGTGGCTATTACCTTATCCAGAGGAATCTTCCCGTTCCAGGGATCAAACCTGGGACTCCGGGAATGTAGGCAGATTCTTTACCATCTGAGCCACCAGGGAAACCCCAGGGTGGAGACTAATTACCTGCCCCAGGGGTGTGAGCTCAATGCAGTGAGTTACTTCTTTGGATACAATGTAACAAAAGTGATAGTCTGTGAAGGTCACAACAGAAACCAGGGTTTTCTCCAGAGAAAACATACAGATAGCCAACAGGCACATGCAAAAATGCTCCACATCACTAATCATTAGAGGAATGCAAATCAAAACTGCAATGAGCTATCACCTCACACCAGTCAGAATGATCATCATCAAAAAGTCTACAAACAATAAATGCTAGAGAGGGTGTGGAGAAAAGGGACCCCTCCTACACTGTAGGTGGGAATATAATTTGGTGCAGCCACTACAGAGAACAGTATGGAGGTTCCTTAAAAGACTAAAACTAGAGCTACCCTATAATCCAGCAATCCCACTCCTGGGTATATATCTGGAAGAGATGAAAATTCTAATTCAAAAAGATGTATGTGGGGCTCCCCTGGTGATCCAGTGGTTAAGAACCCACCTTCCAATGCAAGGGATGTGGTCTTGATCCCTGGTTGAGGAACTTAAGACCCCACAACCCACAGAGCAACTAAGCTTGCACACCGCAACTACCAAGCCCACACGCTCTGGAGCCTATGTACCATGAGGAAAGATCCTGCATGACACGAGGATGCTGCATGCTGCAACTAAGACCTGACACAGCCAAATAAATAAATAACAAAAAGATGCATGCACCCCAATGATCACACAGAACTATCTACAATAGCCGTGACAAGAACACAACTAAATGCTCACTGATAGGTGAAGAGATTAAAAAAAGATATGGTATGTATATAAAATGAAATACTACTCAGCCACAAAAAGAATGAATTATTGCCATTTGCAGCAATACGGATGGACCTAGAGATTATTGATATCATACCTAAGTGAAATAAGTCAGACAGAGAAAGACAAATATCATTTATTGTGGAATCTTAACAAAATGATACAAAAGAACTTATTTACAAAACAGAAATAGATTCGCAGACATAGAAAACAAGCTTATGTTCGCCAAAGGGGAAAGTGGGGGTGGGATAATATCCTATAATGGAAAAGAATCTGAAAAAGAATATGTGTGTTTATATTCATAAGTATACACATTTATAATGTACACATATATACACACACATGCACACAAGTACACATGTGAATCACTTTGTCATATACCTGAAACACTGTAAACCAGCTATAACCTCAAAAATTAAAAAAAAAAGAAGGAAACCAGGGTTTCCTCCTGCCATCTCTTAAGCCACTTGCTCTGAGGGAGTAAACCGCCATGTCCTGGGGACACTCAAGCAGCCCTGAGGAGAGACTTGGGTGCAGAGAAACTGGGGGCTCCTGCCCACAGCCACCTTGGAAGGGGACCCTCAGCCTCTGTAAGCCGTCAGAAGACTGTGGCCCCAGAGGACATCCTAACCGTGGCCTCGCAAGAAACCCAAGCCAGAACCACTGGCTAACCTGCTCCAATAGTTCTGTCACGAAACTCTGCAAGGACTTCCGTGGCGGGCCAGCGGTTGACAGTCCGCCTGCTAGGGCAGGGAACACAGGTTCAATCCCTGGATTGGGAAGACCCACATGCTGAGGGGCGACTGAGCCCATGTACCACGACTGAGCCTGTGCTCTGCAACAAGAGAGGCCACCACAATAGAAGCCCGCACACCACAACTAGAGGGCAGCCCCGCTCGCTGCAACTAGAGCGAGCTCATGTGCAGCAAGGAAGACCCAGTGCAGCCAAAGGACGCTAATTATTTTAGAAAAAAGAAACTCTGCGCGGCAATAAATGCTTGCTGTTTGAAAATAAGTTTCAGAATAGTTTGCCAAGCAGCAGTGGATCACTAACTCAGCCCTATAGATGGCAAGCGGCATGGATGTTCTGTGCAACAAAAATGATAAAAGTACTAAAACAAGTTTACCGAAGAGAAGGGAAGGGACTTCTCAGGTGGTCCAGGGGCTAAGACTTGTCACTCTCAATGCAGGCGGCCTGGGTTTGATCCCTGGTCAGGGAACTAGAGCCTGCATGCCACAACTAAAGATTCTACATGCTGCAGCTAAGACCTGGGGCAGCCAAATAAATACACAATTTTTTTTTTTTTTTAATAAACACATGCTGGGGAGAGTTTTTAAAAAAGAAGAGAAGGAAAAACATCTCAAAAAGAAAAAGAAGCTAGAGACAAGAGCAGGACGTTTGTGTAAGATGAAATAAACATTTGGGGAAATGCTAAAAGTCAGGAGCAATCAATGATCGTATATAATGACACTCTTGTTGTCAGCAGAACATGTCATGTTGTCATGCCCGTGTTCATATGTAATGTGTGTATGGGAAAAGAGTCACCAGGATGTTAACTTAACACTATTTTTTTACACTTGGCTTATCTTTCTGAAAATGTTTCACAACAAAAATAAATTGATCTTTGCACTAAAAAGAAAATTTTTTCTTTTTTTAAGGAGAGAACAGAGGAGAAAGGGAGAAGAGAGGTGACGAGAAGCTGCCCGGGGGAGGTGGGCAGGAAGGGCAGCGGGGATGGGGCAGGAAACCCTGCAGAGCACCTGAGCAGGCTCGGGGCTGCCCGGACACCAGGCAGGAGACAGAGGGATCCTGGGCCCATTTGGATGGATGGATGGATGGATGGGTGGATGGATGGATGGTGGCCCCTTCTCAGATGGAGAACAGACTGGGAACCAGTGGCCTTGTACTTTGGCCACATGGCCTTCACCCCATGGCCTCAGCTCTACTTCCTGCCCCAAACAAAAGCCAACATCCCCCCAGGGAGGGTTTCTTTTCCCACACAGTTCTCTCAGTCTGTATTGCCACCATCCCTACCCTCTGCCCCCACCTCTACTTCTTCCCTTATACCCATCCTCCCCATCCCTGAAGCAGAGCCCTGCTCTGCCTGCTTCCGACAGCTTCCCTTCCCTGGAGACCACCATCCATCATGTTGGGTCCCTGAGAAAATTTCCCTTTCCCAGAACATTGGCAACTCTTCCCAATCCATGACCGGCTCAAGGCCACCTAGGGCTCAGCAAAGAACCTGTGTTGTAGGCAGGGAAGGAGAGGGTGAGATGAACCGAGAGAGCAGAATTAACATATATATATACTACCATGTGTAAAACAAAAGCTAGCAGGAAACTGCCGTATAGCACAGAGATCTCAGCTCGGTGCTTTTCGATGACCTAGAGGAGTGTGATGTGATGGGTGGTGGGAGGAAGGCTCAAGAGGAAAGGGATATATGCTTACATAGAGCTGATTCACATCATTGTACAGCAGAAATGAACGCAACATTGTAAAGCAATTATACTCCAATTAAAAAATTAAAAAAAAAAAACAGAAGACCCTGGGCTGTGGCATCTTCACCAGGGCAGAGAACACATACCAGCAGCTTGCCTGTTTCAAGGTCCCAGGCCCTCACTGTTTTGTCATAAGATGTTGCAATGATTCTGGAAAGAAAATGACAAGGGTCTTAATGACCCAGACTATTCCGCCTATGGTTTCTAAGAAAGATCAAATATTTAACAGAAAGTTTCTACAGTTTAGGACCAAGCTTGCAAAAAAATATTTGAATCTTTCTAAAGATATTTCATGAGGCCCCTGGAGAACTGGGGGTTCTCAGTGAAAACAGAGAGATCTTAACACAGGAGGCACTGCGACACCATTCTCTTCCTTAATCCTTTCATCGGCCAACCAAATACGTCTTTTTCTATCTGGGGCATTAAAGGTATCATTTTTTCTGTTCTGTAATTGACTTCTTTTAGAAGGATAGCTACAACTCACAAGGATCAATCACTTCTTCCACTGATTTCACGTCTTTTTTTTTTTTTTAAACAGGAAAAGACTGTCATAGCTCATTTCATTCTGAATGTTTTCTTGTACATTTACAATATTGGACTGGCTAAAAAGTTCATGCAGATTTTCCCATAAGATGTTATGGAAAAGCCCTAATGAATTTTTCGGCCGACCCAGTAATATAAGTGTACCTTGTTTTCTTACATGGCATGTTTTAGTAAGAACGTGTCCTCTGCATGAGATAAATTCCCATGAAGCTTACCCTGGAGTAGGAAATGACAACCCACTCCAGTATTCTTGCCTGGAAAAAGAGGAGCCTGGCAGGCTACAGTCCACGGGGTCGCCAAGGGTCAGACATGACTGAGTGACTAAGCATGTACATGAAGCTTAAATTCCCCCACGCGTTTTCACTAATAGATTAATTTTGTGGTTGCTGCTCAGGGTAAAAGCAAATCCATTTTAAAGCAAATCCCCTTTTAAAGGCTCATGTCACGTCTGTGTGAAGCGTGAACGCAAATGCACCCCAGGGTGGCCTCCTAAACCCACTCCCCCCAGGTGTCAGCTCAGGCTGGCTTCCTGGGCCCCGGTTTCCCCCTGTGACATGACGGCCTGCACTGAATCGCTAGTGAACCCTGCAGCTGCCCCAGTCCACAGGTGTGACTGCAGGAAAGAAGCTCCATGAAGAACATTCAGACTGGCTTCAGTCACAGTACATTTGGTCTTTTTGGCATTTTAAATTTTCAGAGTCATCACATCTACTTGGTTCTCACAGCAAAAGATGGAAACCATGAGCCCAACATATGGGTGTGTAAGGTCGGGTATTTGCTGAAAAGACAGTGGAGGGTCCCTGGCGTGCTGTGTGCGGGCCTGCCCTTCCCTCTCACCTTCCTGACCAGAGTCAAATGAGGGCAAGTCACCTTCTGCTGTCAGCCGTGACGCTGCATTCTAAAACAGGACCTTCAGGCACCGGCTCAAATTCCCGAACGATGGATCCATCCATAGCATCCTCGGATCAGATGAGAGAGTGGAAGAGAGTGGAAGAGGGTCAGAGGTCACTAAAGCATCAACCGAAGCAGTGAGCTGAGTTCAGCATCAACCCTGAGCTTGTCTGAGTACCCACGGAGGGTGAAGAGACTTCCCCACCACTCCCAGAGCAAGAAGGCCATCATCATCATCCACGGCATCCCCAGGAAACTCCTCCTCCATCCCACAGTGGTCCATGGAAACGGGCCACTCTGAAGGCAAAGCTGCAAACAGGTAATATTCTCGTTCTCTCCTGGCCAAAGAGGCTTAACAGAATCAAGCAAGATCCTTCAAGAACTTTCTAAAAATTCCCAGGAGTTTGGGATGAATATGTACACACTGCTATATTTAAGATGGATAACTAACAAGGTCCTATTGTAGAGCATAGGGAACTCTGCTCAGTGTTATGTGGCAGCCTGGATGGGAGGCGAATTTGGGGGAGAATGGATACATGTATATTATATGTATGGCTGAGTCCTTTTGCTATCCACCTGAAACTATGTCAACATTGTTAATTAACTAAACTCCAAAAGAAAAGTTTAATGAAAAAGGTTCATCTTGTGTTATAGAGGACAGCAAACTCACTGGAAGCAGTCTATGTCCACCTAAAGGGGGCAGTTAAAACAAACTCTAAGACATCCAACAGTGGGACCCAAGCAACTGTTATCACACTGCAGGGAGATGACTAGAGAATGTGATGAGGACAAGGGAGGGTAATAACTGGCAATATGATGGGAACAATGAGGGTACCAAAGTGAAAGGTGCTTGAGTGACAGAAATAAAAATGTTTTCAATAAATGCAGAGACTTCCCTGACGGGCCAGTGGTTAAGATTTTGCCTTCCAGTACGTGGGGTGTGGGTTCAATCCCTGGTCAGGGAGCTACATCCCACAGGCATCGTGGCCAAAAAACCAAAACAAAAACAACAGTGTAACAAACTCAATAAAGACTTTAAAAATGGTCCACATCAAAAAAATCTTTGGAAAAAAAAATGTGTCCACAACTTTTCAGGATAAGCCGAGGTGGAAAGTCCCCCGGAAACAAATGCTATTAGCAAGACAATGAATTTCTAGAAAGACCCTGCATTGTTATGTGAAATTATGGCACACACCTCCCCCCCCCCCCCCAAACAAATGCTATTAGCAAGACAGTGAATTTCTAGAAAGACCCTGCATTGTTATGTGAAATTATGGCACCCAGTTGGGAGAGCTTTTGGCCTGACCAGACCAGGCCTGGGACAGTTCTCCCTGATATGCAGAGACCAATTCACATTAAGACCACAAGCCTGCTGGGAGGCAAAGGGCTCTGTGTCAGGGGTCCCCAGGACCACCCTCACGATCAATGATTCTCCAGGATTCATAGGACTCAGAATATAGGCATGCTCACAGCTAAGATTTACAGCAGCCAAAGGACACAAAGCAAAATCAGCAAAGGGAAGGGCACTTGGGGCGAGGTCCAGAGAAAACCAGGCACTGCTTCCAAGAGTCTCTCCCTAGTAGCATGCACTACTATATGTAAAATAGATAGCCAACGGAAATTAGCTTTGTGACTCAGGGAACTCAAACAGGGGCTCTGTAACAACCTAGAGGAGTGGGAAGATGTGGGAGGTGGGAGGGAGGTTCAAGAGCAAGGAGACATATGTATACCTATGGCTGATTCGTGCTGATCAACAGCCAATGCAATATTGTAAAGCAATTATCCTTCAATTAAAAATAAATAAATTTTGAAAAAGACAGTCTCTCCCTGTGGGTAGCATGAGATGTGCTTAATTCCTTCAGCAGCCAGTCGTAACAACACATGTCAAGTGCTGTCTTCTAGGGAGGTGCACCTGAGCCTCGGGACCCAGATTTTTCCTGGGGTCTGGTCACACAGGCATCACCCATGTGGTTTTGCACAGTCTAGACACAGCAAGCCCCCTGGATCACTTAGGGAAAGATTCATATGACTGTAGGACACTGTTTACCAGTGAAGTTCCCAGATGCCAGCCAAGGCAGCCTCAGGCCACCTGTGCAAACTCTTTTCCACACAGATCCAGTCCCTCAACCCCTGCTCCATGAGACTCTAAACAGCCGGGGCCTTAATCTGTGAGGCTGCCAGGGTTAATACCATGACAGGCAGCCGGGACCTAAGTTTTGGCTTCCTCCGAAATGATAAGATTCCCTACCCCCATCAGGTAACCTGGAGCCAGCCAATATGCGCCCAGTAAGAAACAAAGGAAGAGCTGAAAAGCCCGCGAATGCCCAGGTTTGAAAAAGCCCGTGAAAGTTTGTACCAATAAAATTGTTTTGCAAACATGTAACCAATCCGCTTAAGCCAGCTACTAATCGCTTATGCATACCTTATAAATTTGGATAACAGCCTCTGCTCAAGGCTTTTCTGACCTTGCGCCACTGTGTTGGTTGCAGCAGAAAGCCCTGACTCGAGTCAGTAATAAAACTTCCCTTTTTGTAAATTGCATTGTCTTGGAAGTCCTCTCTTCCCGCTCAGGGATTCGGACATTGGGCAGAACAAATCAAAGCCCCCTGGCAGGAAGAGATCCCAAAGAGGAACTCATGGGGGCAGGACACATCCAGGCTGGAGGCTCAGCTCATGAGCCTCATGACTTGGGAAGAAATGACTGTCTCTAATGGCCTGTGATCCAGCCTCCCTGGATGGTGTGTTACTCTAGAAAAAAATATGTGTCTGGGGGCTTCCCATGTGGCTCGGCTGGTAAAGAATCCGCCTGCAATGCAGGAGACCTGGGTTTGATCCCTGGGCTGGGAAGATCCCTGGAGAAGGGAATGGCTACCCACTCCAGTATTCTGGCCTGGAGAATTCCATAGACTGTATAGTCCATGGGGTTGTCAAAAAAATGTGTCTGGGAACTAAACAAAAAAGATCACTGTGGGTCCTGAGGATGAGGCCCATTGCAGTCTGTGGCCTTAGCCCTGGGCCAGCTAAGGGCAGCGCTAAAACAGAATGAGGTCTGAGGGGTGGCACAGGTTCAGTGCTGGATACTGCCACCATTTGGCCAAGAGGGGAAATAGCAATCGCGGACTGATAACCCACTTGGAAAGCAAGCACTGCCATGAATTACTTGGCAGGAGAGACACATGGCAATAGAGCCAGATGTTGCCACTGAATTCCAAAGACGGTGGAAATGTCTGTGTTTTGTACTGAATGTTTCTTGAAATAACTGGCTAGGGGTGTGGGAAAACCAATAGAGACAGTTACCCCTTCACTTGGCGTTTGGGACCAGGAACTCTTTCTGTGGATTCAGATAATTTAAGATTGGTTGGACTTTGAATGAATGGTGAGAAAGTGGTTCTAATAAAGGAGGTGAGACCATATTTGTAACCCAAGTTTACTGTTGTTATATAAACAGTTTTACTGTGTGGTCTCAATTTCATAAATATGTGTATACATGTTCAAACAGGAAAAAGAAACTACTCTGCAACCTTTTCACGGCAGTTTACTCATGGTTCACGGAATGATTTTTTTCTTTGTGTTTTTATGTTTTGTGGTGATAAAGCCATCTTACCTCCACAATATGAGAAAGACTAGCAAAGTGGTTTTTTCTATAATGACTGAAAAGAGATGTACCATGCTAGAGGACGATTGGGCATAAGATAAGGATAATTTTTTTCCCCTACTTCTTCATACATTGATGAACTTTCTAAATTATTCACAATGATCTTCAGTTAGGAGAAAGGGAGCTTTTTCAAAGCTTAAGCCAGGGGACTTCCCTAGTGGATCAGTGGTTAAGACTCCACACCCCCAATGCATAGGGCCCAGGTTTGATCACTGGTCAGAGAGCTAGATCCCACATGCTGCAACTAAAACCCAGTGCAGCCAAATAAATAAATAAAAGGCTAAGCCAGATGTTTGGGTTTGTGGTGGGTTTGAGAGGAGAAACAGTGATGAGAGTGGGTGAGGGAAGAGAGAGGCAAGGAGACTTTTTCCAAAGATACCTCGATGGAGAAGGCGATGCTCATGGTAATGATTTGTCATCCCCTGAGGGAGGGCTCACCAAGAACTGTAACTGGGGCAGGGAGAGCCACACGAGGAGACAGGAGCAGAGACAAAGATGGAGAAAAGAGAGCCAGGAGGAGCAAAGAGGACCCTTTGGAGGGGCAGCCAAGGCAGGGAGGCCAGAGAACTGGGTGATTTTGCAACTAGGTGTGAAGCTATGAAGGAGGGCAGGGGGTGGAGAGGGAGCAACGGGAGAAGGTGGCACAAGGTGGTAAGGCTGCGAGCAAGTCAGGTATGGAGGGAGTTTGGACAGGTTGAGGTGAATGCATCCTGGAAGGAGCATGGAGTAGGCAGGAAGCAAGGGCAGTGAGGCTGCTGTGGGGTGTCAGGGAGGTCTTGATGGATGGTCCCTAATACTGGGACAACAAGAAAAGAAACAGGCAGACATCCCCTTAGAGAGAGAGAAACCATTTGGCCAAAATAGACAGAAACCCCTGTGAGTCTTTCCACTGACTCAAAAGGTGAGAAGAACATGAAAACTGAAGATGGTAAAGCAAAACGCACAGTTAGAAAGTCACCAACCTCCCTCCCCATAGGTGATGACAATCAGCAGAAACCCCCTTGCCTCTAGGCCTTCTCAGTTATCCTAGAGGACTAAGAAAGGGCCTAGGGTTTCCAGAGGAGCCAGTGGCTTTCCCACCAAGAAGATCACGGGGCTGGGTGGAGGGGGTGGTGGATAAGGGCCACAGAAGAGAAGGGAGTGGATGTCTGTAGGGACCTGGAATAGGCCAGGCAGGCCCTGGAGTAGCCCCAGCTCTCAGCTGATCCTCAGGAGCCTGGGGAAACTCAGGGCGGCCCAGGAGGCCATGTAATCACCGAGGGTCAAACATCTGGTAGGTCCCTAATGTGGGGCTTGAACTTTCTGGATAGCTTCCAAACCCTTCTGGCTAGTCTTCCTGGCTTAGTACCCACCAAGACCCAGAAGATGTTCCTCTAAGGGGATCTGGAAGGTGAGGAGATATCCTCTACCTAGCTGCTCAAACTGGAACCCAGGAATCAGCCTTAACTCACTCCATCCTGTCCCCCTCCTGCTCCTGAAGCCAGAGGAGATAGCAAAACTGAGAACTGACTGTCCTCCCCAGTGGGCCCAGCCTCACCACGCAGTCATCTGTGCAAGGGCCCCCGCTGGTCATTGCCATCTCCCAGGCCTGATACCTCCTCATTTTCTCCTGACTGACCAGCAGTACACCCAAGCAGGCCCACCAGGGTCTGCTGGAGATGCCCTGCAGGCTTTGAAAGAGTGCATAGTGGCCACCTCTCTATAACCTCGTCAGTCCATCACACCCCTGTTCCTGGCCCCTGCTCCCTGCATCTTACAGAACTGACCTATTCTCTGGCCTGCCTCTCCCAATCATCCTTCATGGACAGGTCCCAGGTTTGGCCACTTTTCTGTCCTCTTGTGATCGCCCAGGCCTGAACATACCATCTCTGAGGATGGAACTGAATATTCCAAGTGAGAAGGAGACCCAGAGAGATGACACAGCTCAGAGACCCTCAGGCACAGCCTCCAGCAAAAGCTGGCGAGCTCCCAGTCCAGTGGTCTCTGCCCCTGCTCCCACTGTATCCAAGTCAGCAGGCTGACAGCAGCCACACTAACTTCATCTCTCCAGTGACTTAACACCAGAGTGAGGCCTCACTTTGCTGCTGCTTCTTGTACTTTGTTCAGAAAGGCTTCTCCAAATCTTTGGGATCCTTGAATGTCTGGGAACTTAGTACTGGGAAAATCTCATAAGAGGTGACATAAGCTTACGGGATGTTTTGGCTCCACCTAACACAGCCACCTACCCACAGCTTCACGGTGCAGTCATAGGAGCCGCTGAGGACCTTAGCGTCATCCACACAGAAGTTACAGGAAGTCACAATGTGCTCGTGCCCCCTCATAATTTTAAATGGGATCTGAAAAAAAGGATAGACTGAATGAGTTCAGAAGGTTGCAGAATACCAGATCAATATTTTTTTAAATCAATAGCATTCCTATACACTTGCAATGAACAATACAGAAAAAATTAAGAAAAAATTGCATTTACAAAAGCATCAAAGTAGGAATAAATTTAATTTAAAAAGTGTAAAAATTATACACTGAAAATTACAAAACATTGTTAAGAGAAATTTTAAGACTTAAATAAATGGAAAAGCATCCTATGTTCATGGATTAGCAGATTTACTATTCTTATGAAAATACCCTCCAAAGTGTTTATATTAATATATTTATTTATTTATTTATCATTTATTCAACATCACCCTTCTGGCAGACTTCTCTTCTGAAATTGACAAGCTGATCCTACAATTTATAAACAAACTCAAGGGAAGCAGAAGCCCCCAAACAATCTTGAAAAGGAACAAACAGGGGACTCACAATTTCCCATTCCAAAACAATGTTCAAAATACACAAAGAGACAGTAATCAAGACTGTCTTGTAGTACTGGCATAAAGATAGACATACAGATGGATGTACTAGCGCTGAGAATCCAGAAATAAGCACTCATATTTCTGGTCACTTGATTTTCAACAAGGGTGCCAAGATAAATAAAAGGGGAAAGAAAAATCTTTTCAACAAATTGTGCTGGAACAAGTGAATATTCACATGCAAAAGAGTGAAGTTGGACACTTACCTCATACCATATACAAAAATTAACTCAAAATGGATCAAGACCTCAATGTGAGTGCTAACATTACAAAACTCTTAGAAGAAAACATGGGTGTAAATCTTTGTGGATCTGCAGTGATCTCTTAGATATGACAATGAAAGCACAAGTAGCAGCAATGGCAACAATGATAAACTGGACGTTATCAAAACTAAAACTTCTGTGCCTCGAATGACACCATCAAGAAAATAGAAAACAATAAACAAAAAGAAAAAAATTTTTAAAGGAAAGTAAAAAACAACTCACACAATGGAAGAAAATATTTGCAAGTCATATATCAGATTAAGGATTTGTATATGGAATACATAAAGCACTCTTAAAACTCAACAAGAAGGAGACAAACAATAGAAATTAAAAATGGGCAAAATATTTGAATAGGCATTTCTCCAAAATAGGTATGTAAATTATCTACAAACACATGGAACTATGCTCAACATCATAAGCCATTAGGGAAACGTAAATCAAAACCATATTGAGCTAAGAGAATAAATCCTAAGAGTTCTCATCACAAGGAAAATATTTTTAATCTATTTCTTTAATGTTGTATCTATATGAGATGATGGATGTTCACTAAACTTTTTATGGTAATCATTTCATGATGTATGTAAGTCAAAACATTATGCTGTATGCCTTAAGCTTATGCAGCAGTGCTGTGTATCAATTATACCTCGATAAAACTGGGTTAGGTACATTCAATTACAGTACCTAAATATAAAAAACAGAGCAAACCAAACAAACGTATTGAGGACTTTCCTGGTGGTCCAGTGATAAAGAATTCACCTGCCAATGCAGGGGATACAAGTTCAATTTCCAGCCTGGGAAGATTCCACGTGCTGAGGGCAACTAAACTGGCGCACCATAACTGCTCAGCCTGTATTGCAAAGCCTGTGAGCTGCAACTAATAAGTGTATGTGCTGCAACTACTGAAGCCCGCGGGCCCCAGAGCCATGCTCTGCACTAAGAGAAGCCACGACAATGAAAAGCCTGCACACAACTAGAGAGTAGCCCATGCACAGCAATGAAGACCCAGCACAGCCAAAAATAAATAAATAAAAATTACAGGGCTGCTATATAGATCAGTCTACTAAAAGCAACCCATTATATGCATCTGCCACAAACATCCAAACACTAAATTAAAAAGAAACATAGTGAGATACCACTTCATACCTAGAACAATGTCTATCATCAAAAAAATCAGATAATAACAAGAACTGATAAGAATGTGGAGAAATCAGAACTCTCATATATGGCTAGTGTGATGTAAAATCGTGAAGCCACTTTGGAAAACAGTTCAGCCATTCCTCAAAAACTTAAACACATGTGTTAACTTATGATGCAGTAACTTTACTCCTAGACTTGTACCTAAGAAAAATGAAACCATATGTCCAAACTTTAACATGGGCCTTCATAGCTATATAATTCATAACACCGAAACTTGGAAACACCACATACCCATGGTCAACTAATCTTCAACAAAGAAGGCAAGAATATATGATGGGGAAAAAACATTCTCTTCAGCAAGTAGTGTTGGGAAAGTTGTACAGCTGCATGTAACTCAATGAAATTGGACTACTGCTTCACACCATACACAAAAACAAACTCAAAATAGCTTGAAGTCTTCAATATAAGACATGACACCACAAAACTCCTAGAAGAAAATGGACAAAACATTCTCTGACATAAATAGTATCAACGTTTTTCTTAGATCAATCTCCCAAGTAAAAAGAAAAAGCAAAAATAAACAAATAGGACCAAATCAAGCTTATAAACTTTTGCACAGCCAAGAAAACCATTAAAAAAGGAAAAAATAACCTATGGAATAGGATAAAATATTTTTAAATGATGCAACTGACAAGGACTTAATTTCCAAAGTATACAAACAATTGTATACAATTCATACAACTCAAAACAAGCAAACAAAAAAATGGGCAGAAGATCTAAATAGATATTTTTCCAAAGAAGACATCTGGGTGGCCAATAGGCACATGAAAAGATGCTCAACATCACTAATTATTCAGTTCAGTTCAGTTCACTCACTCAGTCGTGTCCAACTCTTTGCAACCCCATGGACTGCAGCACGCCAGGCCTCCCTGTCCATCACCAACTCCCAGAGTTTACTCAAACTCATGTCCATTGAGTCGGTGATGCCATCCAGCCATCTCATCCTCTGTCGTCCCCTTCTCCTCCTGCCTTCAATCTTTCCCAGCATCAGGGTCTTTTCAAATAAGTCAATTCTTAGCATCAGGTGGCCAAAGTATTGGAGTTTCAGCTTCAGCATCAGTCCTTCCAATGAATATTCAGGACTGATTTCCTTTAGGATGGACTAATTATTAGAGAAATGCAAACCAAAACTAGAACGAGGTATCGCCTCATATCAGTCAGAATGGTCATCCTCAAAAAGTCTACAAATAATAAATGCTGGAGAGGATGTGGAGAAAAGGGAACCCTCCTCCACTGTTGGTAGGAATGTAAGTTGGTACAGCCACTATGGAAAATGGTATGGCGGTTTAAAAAAAAACAACTAAAAATAAAGTTGCCATATGACCCAGCAATCCCATTCCTGAGCACATATTAAAAAAAGAGAAATACTCTGTCTTGAAATAATACATGCACCCCAATGTTCATAGCAGCATTATTTACAATAACTAAGGCATGAAAGCAACTTACATGTTCATCAACAGATGAATGGAAAAAGAAGATATGGTACAAATATATAGTGGAATATTACTCAGCCATAAAAATGAATGATTTAATGCCATTTGCAGCAACATGAATGAACCTAGATATTATCAGACTGAGTGAAGTAAGTCAGAGGACAAATATATGATATCACTTATATGTGAAATATTGAAAAAATGATACAAATGAACCTATTTATGAAACAGAAACAGACTCACAGACATAGAAAACAAACTTATGGTTATTAAAGATGAAAGGGAGGATAGGGAAAAATTAGGAGTTTGGGATTAGCAGATACATACTATTATATACAAAATAAACAGCAAGGACCTATTACAATAGCACAGGGAACTATATTCAATATCTTGTAATAAACTATGGTGAAAAATAATCTAAAAAAGAATATATACATACAGAATACATATATTCTGAATATATTATTTTGAATCACTTTGCTCTACATCAGAAACTAACACAACATTGTAAATCAACTACACTTCTATTTTTTAACAATTGAAAAGAAAAATTGGAAACAATTCAAATGTCCATCCACTGATGAACGAATGAATAAAATGAGGTATATCCATACAACAGAATATTACTATGCAATAAAAAGGACATGAAGGACTTCTTTCTTCTGGTCTGGCATGTGAAAAGCTTGGAAGTCCCCACTCCGTCCTCACAACAAGGAAAGAACTGAACTGAAAAATCTCTTAGATCCATAAAGGAAGTGAGGTCACAAGCCAAATGGCTGTCCCCCAAACTGGAAAGATAGGGAGGCAAATACAAAGAATTCCAAGTTACCAGAGCAGAAATACAGGAGCAGCAACTTCTGTGGGTACCACTGCCAGGATAGGGAGACCTGGACTGTAACTGACCAATTGCTGGAGGCTCAGGTGTGGATAACTCTGAGAGTTAAAACTCCAAAGGGGAATTCAGCTATGGATCTACAAAAAAAAAATCCACAATTCTGTGAGTGTTACCTCCAGGAGCAGTCCTAATCCTCACAGTGAAAACAGGAGAAAAATCCCCTTGTGCTTCCAGCAGGGAAAAGGAACCATTTTGAATATGCCACAGCATCCTGCTCTTCTTAAGCTCTGCCCTCAGGAGACACTAACCAGAGTCTAACCTGCTCAGATTTTATCAGAAACCAACTGACCAGGGGAAAGAGAAGTACCCAACCCTAGCAAGCTCTAGCCATCCTATAGGATGTAAAAGTGAAGGGTGGGGGTTTCAGACTAAAAAGCACACGTGAAGTTAACAATCCAGAGGCACAGGTTCACTAAAAGACAGAAACCTGATCATAGGGCTATAGAATGCTTCTCTGTACCCTACACCTAACAATCACATTACTAAAGGCTGGTTGATAGCAGTTCATTTTACCTACTAAATCATGTCTGGCTATCAAGAAAAAATGACAAGAAACACTAAGAGGCGGAAAACACAGTTTCAAGAGAGAGCATGAATATAACATCAGTACCAGACTCAGATGTGGCAGGGATGTTGGAATTATCAGACCAGGAATTTAAAACAACTCTGATGATATGCTAAGGGCTTAATGAATAAAGTAGA